CCTCCATGGTACTCTCTCTGGAGGCCTTGGCTCTCCCTCTGCCTCTCCTCCCTCTCTCCCTCTCTAAAATTAAATAAATAAATAAATAAATAAATAAAATTAAAAAAAAAACTGGAGTCAGTTTTAGTAGCTAGTTTTAGGAACTGAGCTGAGACAATACTGCAGAACCTGACTCTTACCTCAGTGCTCTTCCCTTCTGCCTCCATGGTACTCTCTCTGGAGGCCTTGGCTCTCTCCAGAGGGTAGGAGATATCAAGCACAACGTTTATGCCATGGCTAAGGCACCACGTCAGCACGAGGCCTTCCCCTCCCCTTTGGCTCGTTCCGTACCATAGATGCCAAAAGTGTTGGACAGAGACTGGCTGCAGAAGAACTCAAAGCCTTGAGACACGAAGTACTGTAAGAATCCAGTATCTTCTTCCAAGTCCCCGGTGGATAAACCTTGATTGGGAATGTCAAAAAATGGGAATATCTGCTTGCTCTGTAGGAGAAAGAAGATTGGAAAAAGGATGAAGTTGGTGGAGGAGATGGTAGATGGCGAGAGGGAAGAAAGTCCGGCGGATGTTGGGCTCACCTTCATGCTGGCCATCAACCTTGCCCACTGACTTTGTGTCAAGTTGCAGTCACCAAGGTTCCCAATCACAAAGATACAGCCATGTGGGGCCTGCTGCAGGTAGACACTGTCTCATCAGGCACTTCCCCTACCAAGTGGGAGTGGCACTAGGGCATATGGAGGAGAAATCATCCTCCATGTTGGTTCCTACTAAAGGGCCAGGCAAATCCAAGCCTAGAAAAGGCCTTTCATGACAACAGGGGTGGTGGGGATGAAAGGAAAATAAAACTGTAATCAGGTCTGCGGAGAAGTTTCTGAGCAGGGCCCCTCTACCTCCACCACATCGAGGAGCACGTTGGAGTCTATGCACAGCTGCTTGGAGTCCCAGAAGGAGTATTCACAAACTGTAAAGCCCATGTCCTGGAAGACGAGTCCGTAGGGTTCTGTGGGAACACAGCCCCCCTCCAGCTGGTACTGAGGAAATGGAGGCAGACATGCCAGGGAATGGGTCTGAGGGTCACTGGTGGAAGGTGGGACAATAACAGGAAAAGGACAAGCATACTTGGCTTGTCTACCATCTTGCTCATGACAGAGAGTGAGAAGGGCAACAGTGAAGATTGCAAATGGGGTGGGACTCAGGAACAGGAGAGAGGGACCTTCTGTCACCCCCATTTTGCATAATAACTCACCTTTTTTGGAAGAAATAATGTAAACTATTTGAGAATCCTTACGCCAGATTTTGAGGAACTGGGCCCCAAGTTGGAAGGCTCCATTGTCACCAACAGTGTGCACACCCCCTACCTGCCAACAGAAAATAAACAGAAGTAACTCTTTAAAAGAGTGATAATGATGCTATTACTGCCTCAGGTTCAGATGATTCCTTCCTGGAAAGAACCTGTACATCAGCAGTGTGGGCTGATGCAAAGAACAGTGGCTTCAGGTTCGGATCCTGGCTCTGTCCCCCACCGACCAAGTCTCCGGACTCTGAGTCTCACGGCCCCCTCTGTCAATGCCAGGAAGCCCTCCAACGCCTCTTTCTGGTTAAGGGCTATGCAGCCCCAGAGCTCCACTCGCTGAGTCCGGGTGAGTCAGCAAAGGGCCCTTCATCTCACCCTGTTCTCCATAATGACTTGGCTGTGTTTTCCAAAGAGGAGCTTCAAGGAGGCCTCAGTGAATGATTTCATGCCCTTCACGGGCACATACTCGTAGTTCAGAGAGGGATCATACGCGATCTGCAGTCGGATCTTGGGCACCACGGAAGACACCCAAGGATGGCCCTCGCTGGTCATGCAGACTGTGAGGGAAGCCACAGAGGGAGCTCTGGATGCCCAGCCTCAGGGCCTCCGAGTCAGGGCTCTGCAGACAGCCCACAAACAAACATCGGGCCCAGCTTTCTTGGGGCTTTGGAAAGTTGCCCAGGAAAAGACAACTTTCTTTTTTTTTTCCTTCCCCTTTATAAAAACAATGTGCCGAGTGAATGTGTATAATTTTTGTCTTTTTAAAGAAGACAGCTGAAGCTTATGCCATTTTTTTTAAAACCTGCGTCATTTTAAAGGGCAAACATGACATACCACATGGGAGTTCTAGACCCATGAGGCTAAACAAAGGTAACCCCAACTTTCACAGTGGCTAGGGCTGGCTGCATTTCAGAAGGGTCCGTTTGGGGAACCATTCTTAGTTCAGGAACAGAAGAGGAAGGGGAGGGGAGAAGGAAGAGGCTGAAGAAAGTAGAGTGCCCATGCAGACCCCGAAGCATCGAACTGGAGGAGAAGGCGTAGCTCTTACCAAATCCCCGGAAGCCCCCAGCTAAGGGCAAAGGGCACAGAATGACCCGGGACATTTTTTGCACTTTTCCCCACCGGGCAATTCTGTTAACAAGAACAGAGCTCTCCACGTGCAGAGGCGTGGCTACCTCCTGATTCCTCCGTGGCAAGGGCAGACTGTTCTCCTAGAGGCAATCAGGATAAGAGTCTTAAAACGCTCCAAAACCGTAAGGCATCTACCTCTAAAGGCCAGGAAAATCTTGTTAGGACAATTGTCTTGCTTGTAGGTCTTTAACAAGCTGCCTTCTAGCCTCTGGGCTAGGGGCACATCCATGAACACCGAAAGGGTAGGCATCACTGAAATACAAGTACAGCCAAGCCTACTCTGTTCCCTGCTCCTGTTCCAAAGCCTTCCTCCAAGACCGGCCCAGCCAGGCCTGCCTCTTCCCGGAACCCTGGCAGATCCAATACAGAGGCTCTGGACAACTGGTCACCAGAGCAACAGAACCCTACAATCCCCAATCTCCGTGGTGGCGATCCCCAAAGCCTATGGGAATATTCCATGGCAGTTGAGGAGGATCCCCTGAGAGAGTGGGCAGAGATGGGGGAGGAGGGAGGGAGGACCTGGAATTTCCAGGGACCTCTCTTTAACTCACTGCCTTCTCTGGCTCCCAGTTGCCCAAACCAAAGTAACAAGGCAGCCCTTGGAAGATAGGGCAAGCCCGGCAGCCCAGGAACCGGGTGCAGAAGTGAAAACCTCAGACCCAGCAGTAATGCAAGTTGAGGGATACATTTAAAAAGCTTCTACTTTTGTTTTGCTAAGGGCCCCACATTTTAAAAGGAATAGAAAGAAAGCACTGTTTCCTTCCATAGTTATTTTAAATAAAGAATCCTATGTTTAGAAACAGGATAAGCTGCAACTCCGCAAGCCAATCCTATTTTCTCTCAGTTCTAGAGCCAAGACTTCTACACTTGTTAACCTATTCATTGGTGGCCCAGCAGCAAGTGTAGATGGCAGAAATCAAGGGCACAAAGAGCTGGCCTCTGTAGGATCAGTCTTGTGATTTGCTTTCTTTTTTTATTTTTTTAAAAATAACTTTGTAGGGGGCGCCTGGGTGGCTCAGTCGTTAAGCGTCTGCCTTCGGCTCAGGTCATGATCCCAGGGTCCTGGGATCGAGCCCCGCATCGGGCTCCC